CTTTTTCCATGCCAGTCTGTATTGAGTTTCAATTTCAATCAAAACCGTTTTCCCTTTATTATTGGTAACATTTTCCAGATTCCTTCCCTGATTCGCATGCACTAATTTGTGCAAAATGACCTCTCTCAATACTAGTTGTGGTATTGTCAATCTTAATGAACTTTCCCAACCAATTACCAATTGCTTTGAACACATTTGATGAAAAATATTCCACTGGAATATCAGGTAACCTCACCTATGCTGCTATCTTGTTAATATTAGCCATGTGTGGTTGAAAGTTTGGAGACCACGAACGAACTGCTAAATAGTGATTCAGAATACTCCATGGCCCCTCAGACCAAGCGAACTCCAGGTCCTCATTCCTCTCAAACCTGGCAAGAAAATAATCATTCTCCAAGTCCGTGACACGGATTCTTCCTTCTCTAGCCCATAAGCCCTCCAACCTTCTTCGCATGAAATTCAATGAGACTTTTTTCCCCAGCAACTTAACTATTAAAGTTTTCCACCAGGGTTTCTGTATTCTTTCTTTCAGTTCCTCCGATAATTTGAAGTTGGTACGTCCATCCGGATCTAATTCATATATGATCTCGGAATCTTCTTCTTCCCCGTTTTGATTCTCCTCCATATTCTCTTCTGTTTCAAACTCTCTATTATGTCTTAACAATGATTCCCTAAAAGAAGTTATTTTTTCCATCCAATCCTCCTCTCTTCGGCTCCTTATCTCATCAGAACTGAACTTGCCCTCACCGCTTTTGTATTTCTTCGTGCTCCTCCGCAGTTGATCATCTTCTTCTGTTGAGCGTTCATCCTCTCCTCGTTCGTTCTCTCCTCGTTTGTTCTCCGTATTTTTTTAGAAGTGAAATTTATTAATTTACTTTAGTTCTTGAAGTTATGTTATTTTAAATGACATGAAGTTATGTTATTTTAAGAGAGAGATAGACATAAAATAATTTTTTTATTTAAAATTTAAATTAAAAAAAATACCATCCACTCTTTCCCTCATGATTTTCATTTCTTGTGTCTATCTCTCTCCTAAAATGACATAACTCATATCATTTAAAGTGACAAATATCAAACCCATATATCTTTCATGTACTTTCACTATTACACATAACTGCAAAAGCATTTTTTATTACTTAGCACCCTCAATTTTAGTTTAAGTTAAAAATGCTAACTTTCTGTTAACTTGAACATCAATTTAGTAGTTTCTCAACCTACTGTGTAAAGTTCATTTTCATGTCACTAAATCCCTTAATTTAACTAATATTAAAAATATAATTTTATAATTTTGAATTAAGATGTGGTGTGAAATTATTATAATTTGTCACTTAATTTATATAACCTTCGTCATAGTATTTTTTTACTAAGACTTAAACCCCAACAAATATATATCTATATAAAATTAGAAGAGCTAACTTGTGTTCGTTAGCTTAACAATTTCTTATGAATTGCTAACAATTTACAAACTAACTACGATATATGTTAACAAATTATTTATGACTAGCGAAACTTAACAAAGATAAAAGATCAAGTCTTATGGTAGTTAATTATTTTAAAGATAATAATGCATGGTATCTTATTTTAATATATTGTATGCTTGTTAACAGGGAAATTAAAAAAAAATTGCGAAATGGAAACCAAATGACTAAATTAAATAGTTAATCTTTTAATTACCAAAAAAAAATAGTTAATGTTTTATTTATGCTGAACTGACTTGTTCTAAAGAACAGAAGTATTTACATATCTTAAAGGTGCATGCTATAAACACGCAAAATCACTCGAGTAGAGAGTATAATTTTGGAATAATTCTGGTGTGTGATTCCAGGTTCTTTTATTTTACTTTTTTTTTTTTCTCAAATTCTTTGAGTGGGAAAGTCCTCCCACTTTCTTGAAACTTGAAAGTCTTTTCTCCATAGTCCACATATAGAAATTTCCAACCCTTTTGCTATTAATTACAAAACAAATTAGTCAAGTAATTAATCTGGGTTTTACATGAGGGAGGAAGGAATTGGGAGTTAATAAGCTGAGTAAGCAATGGAGAAATATAACAACATGATTCCTATAGGTGTCACTTAAGATATTAATATAACAATGTGATTCTTCCTCTGCACCATCTTTAGGAAAAGTTTAAAGTCTTAACTTCAGAATCCGCCTCAAGTCAAACTAATCGTGAAGCGATGAACTAATTGAAATATTTTTTTAAAAAAAGGTAGGCTACACATGGCTCTAGGTGTGCACATGGTTAAGACAACTTTGATCAAAAGTTTTACACCTCATTTTTTCCCTAATCAATTAGGCTTTGAAAAATTGTACCAAAATTCATATATAAATAATGAATAAAGAGAAGCTTTGAACTATCAAGCAAGCATTTGATAGAGTTGCTCTTAGAAGAAAGAAATAGAGTTCCACCACATAGGTGAGAGAGAAATCTTCCAAGTGAGAGATAAAATTGTTGTAATTCATCCTTAGTGGGTGAAGTATTTGTGTGTAAACCTATTTATTGTCTTGCACTAAAAAGATAATCTTTGTAATCTTACTTTCATAGTGGAAGCTTTTTTGGATCAATCGGTTTCGTGATTTTTATTCCTCACATTAATAGGGTTTTTCACATTAAAATTGTTTATGTTCTCTATTAGTTTTTCTTCTATTTTACTTTTTTATCTTTGCGATAGGTTTACTTTGCTTTTGCAAATAGGAATTGTTTCGAGCTAAGATCCTTAACCCAACAATAATAACTCACATCGCGAAATATGTAATTATTGAGATTTCTATATTAGTATATTACAAAATACTCTTATTTAAATTGTCACAAAAAGCCCTCATTCAATTTGGGTATATATATTGGTAAAAGGGAAAATCTTGATCGTACGAGCTCTTTCCATAACCTTTTGTTATATATTAATCCTCGTTTGACGTTTTCCCACAAATGCTCTCCCGTAAAGTTAGTTACATAATGTTTGAGCCATTCTTTATGGTTCAAAGGAGAGGAGGAATTGGGATAAAAAGAAAAAAGAAAAAAGAGTTTTTTATTACATAATTAATTCAAACCTAGTACAGAAAATACATTCTTTAAAAAATACAGAACATCTATTGCGTAATACGAGTGAGTGATGGAAACTGCAATGGTCAAAACTGAAATATTTATCAATGATTTGAACAAACTTTTCAGGCGTGCTTCAGGCCCTTCATTCGTTTTTTTAATGAATTTAATATTTACCTCCTACAATATAAAAAATATTAATTTTTTTATTAATATATTAAAACTTCTTTCTTAGAATTGAAGTAACTAACATTTTTTGTATGAAACTATAGTAGTTAACTATACATCCAGTAAAAAGAAAATTTAGTTAGGTAGATTCAAGACATGTATTTAATATATTTATGATGGGAGAATATTATATTTACAAACTTTTTGTTTTACAAACTACACTATAGTAATACACTCTTGAGTAGAATATTATCGGTCACTAGGTGTGTTAAACGAACCAGGGGCCTTTCAGGAGTTTTTGACTCAGCTCGTTAAGGCCTGAGCTTACATGTCTAAAATTTGTTGTTGGTACCAGGCTTGAACTTGTATAAAAGCTCGTTTAATAAAAAGGTTTCAGGCTCTAATTCAAAAGCTCGGCCTTCGAGTCTCTCAGGCTGGCCTAGTATATTATTTTATATTTTTATTTTATATTTTTATACTACTTGTAATAGTCCTCTTTTTCTCTTCAATCTATTTCACCCCATTTTATTAGTTAAATACAGATTTTGTTCTATATTATGTTGTTTGGATATATATTGAATTTATTAATATTTATTAAAATACTAGTATTATTGATTGTATATTCTGTTTGGATAAACTTTTGTTGTCTTATTTTTTTTTTAATAGGCTAACAGGTTAAACCAGACTTTTTTTTTTGTAAATAAGTCAGGCTACAGGCCGATTGTTATATTTATACCAGGTAACAGACTTGGTCAGATTGACACATTTTAATACAGGCTTAGCCTTTTAATACCAAAGTTCGGATCGGATCGGCTCGGCCTGTTAACACCTCTATCGGTCACACATAGTGTAATTTGTAAGTTTGTAAAAAAAAAAAGTTTTTAAACGGATTCTTGTAAGTTGCTGGGCGTTACACATCTCGTTTAACATGAGTCCACACACACACATACACACATATATATATATATATGAGGCATGATATTCTTACACCGGTATAAGAGTTAGAAGTCTTACACTCAATCTTGATCATTGATCCACTTGTATCCAATGGCTCACATTACTAAAAAATTTAAGCCCTTAAATTTAAGTGGGATCAACGGACTAGATTGAGAGTGTAACTTACACTGGTGTAAAATAATCCTGACCCTATATATATATATATATATATATATATATATATATATATATATATATATATATATATATAATATAAAGGCTTTTATTAAATAATCTTTAAACATGTTCTTAGTTAATGCTTTTTCCACACTGCAATGGTTTTGCAACTGAAGAAAAGGGAATATTCCCAAAGTAGCAAATCTTTGGTCAGGAATGCAAGAAAACTACTCGCTGATGCATGTGTTATTTACAACGAAATTCAAGCACACATAACTACTACGATAAATAGTTTTTTCTTTTCACGTTAGAAACCCTTATTTTTAAAAAAAATAAATAAACAGTTTTACAAATATAGTTATTTATTAAGCTATGAAGAACCAAAATGGTGTTGAAAAGGAGCAGAGTTTATACTTAGTAATTAGTACATATTATAATGTTGCGTCCTATGTTTTCTTTTTTGTGTGTCTCTCTTCACTGCCACTTGCCACTTGCCACTTGGCCCTCATTACCTGAAAGCTTCTTCCAGTTTAGAAATTTGGAATTTGACTACAGATCAATAGAATAAATAAATAAAAGCATTCCTATTGACTCGAAAATTATTTAATTTGTTAAGAATACGTTATTGTGCCTATAAAAGGTTACGGATGATGAGCACCTAGTCAGGTAATTTGCTATCATGGAAAGCATGCTTAAGTTTGTTCCTCTCATTTGTTTTATGACCATGCTTAAATTTGTATTAGGAAATGCAGCAGCTTATCCTGAAGGTGCTGGTGGCATGAATTTCAAGGGCATAATAGGAGCTATTGCAGACCAAAATTCCCGCAATGGTAAAGAGGAGATAGTGGCTATTGAGATGGCATTGGAGGATTTCTATCATTACAGCAATCAAAGGTTTGTTCTGCACATAAGGAACTCTCGAGGGGATCCCCTTAAGGCTGCTCTTGCAGGTTTATATTTCTCAATCTTCATCTCTCCTCATTGTTGAAAATTTTGCACCCTTTTTTTACTTAAAGTTTAGATTAGGGTCCATGCAAGGTCAGGGAAGATAACCAACTTCTTTGAAGATTTAAAGTGAGATTACATATTATCTAGCAAAGAGAAAAAAACTTACGTTCGAACCCAAGCCATGACTAATGTCAGTGGAAGGTTCGACCAACTATGCCAACCTTCATTAGCTAAAAATTATTGCACCTTTAATTTGCCAGATTGTGATATAATTTGCATATCACTTCAAGTACAAATGCAAGAGGCTTAAAATAAGTCCTATACGTAGTTGTCTTGGGATATATAATATTTATTTATATGTTGTTAGGGTGTGTTCCTCCGTTTAATGCTCGGTGGCTATGCATGCACCACATTTATGGATGCATGGCTCAATATCTTAACAACCACCTCGATAAATGCTGCTCACCTAATTATTAATGAAGACTATAGAAGAAGGTATAGAATTTCTCTTCAACTTTATAATCATAATAAACTTTTTGTAATAGATTAGTTGAGACATTTTTAGAGAGAGAAAACCTCTAAAAAGAAGTTTGAGTGTGAGACATCTTTAGAAAAGAACCTGTAAATATCATTGTTGGTGAAGTTTGAGTGTATCTCTACTGTGATTAGGGAAGTTTGAATCTTTTATCTTCTTACTATTCATAGTGGAAGATTTTATGGATTAAGTCCCATGGTTTTTACTTCTGTAACATCCCCAAACGAGTCGGTTCAATTAATATACATATGATACAAACAGAAACAGCGGAAGACTTAACTTACGAAAATACGAGCTAACTTTTTTTTTCTTTTTTCATTAATCTTAATTCACATGATATCTCACATTGCATACTTCTCCTAATTTAATTCGTATTTGACAAAGACGAAAATCGGACAGAGTAACCTCTGTAAATTGGACAACTGGGGATTTGCCAATCTCACTCTCAAAGGTTCCTGATAAACAGTTTATACCATATATAATTTCAGAAATACCAGATATCTATAAAGGACTATATACCCATCCATGGGTGCATGCATAACTGGCTCCGTGCCACTATGTCTAACCACATACATATTTCAGCACATGCACATATCTGAATACACAAATGTACATGCATCAAATATGAACACATGTACAAAACATATACGGACCATATATTGTATAATGGATCAAACATCATGATCCCAAAATGAATAGAACACTATACAACAGTAAATATTCTCCAAAAATAAGATCTATAATAAATAGTAGTGTCTGGCCACCCAGAACTCCATATCCTCATACTAGTACCTCTAGCCACGGGTAGTGTCCTTGTCTCATGAGGGCTCTTCAATTAACTATGTTCCTGAAATCATATCCCCAAACGGGGCTAGAGATGAATCTCTAGTAAGCTCCAGTTTATGGAAAACTCTCCATACCCTGGGCTCACTTCCTGCATGACAGTCAGATACATAATATACAAAACATCATATATGCAATTATCATAACTGAACAAGCATATACACATATTTTATCAAAGATGCACGCAGTATTTTCTAAGGGAGGACCCCAAGCGAAAATCAACGCACGTAACAAATATCATAACTAAAACACTACAATAATCACTTCAGACAAAACATATCATATCAGATACGTACACCATCATTCCCAAGGGATGACCCCAAGCAGAAATCAATGTACGTAACAAATATCATATACAAAATCATCACAATAATCACATCAGAACAAAACATATCTTATCAGAGACGTACGCCGTCATTCCCACGGGATGACCCCAAGCGAAAATCAACGTACGTGTTCCCAAGGGAGGACCCCAAGCGGAACCAGAACGTATCAGAGGTGTACACCATCAGTCCCGAGGGATGACCCCAAGCAGACGTTAGTGCACATAGGATCAATGGCCAGAGATCATCACATAACAAAGGTGTACACAATCAATCCAAAGGGAGGACCCCAAGCGAAAATCAATGCACATGTTCCCAAGGGAGGACCCCAAGCGAAACTCAACATATAACAGATATATACACAGTCAGTCCCAAGGGAGGACCCCAAGCGAACATCAGTGCATATAGAATCAATGGCCAAAGATCATTACAGAAATCACATCAAAACATATCAAAGTAAACACATCAAAACATATCAAATTAAACACATCAAAACATATCACATCACATCATCGCATAGTTCTATATGAATGCATCTATATCATATATCTCATACATATCATACAACCTGACCACAGTCCGTACATTATGGCGGAACACAAAGTAGGAGCGAATCCCATAAACATAGAGCTTACCTCTTGGAGCTTTACAATTTTCTTACTTGAAGGACAAGCTACTTATCTTGCTCCACGAGAATCCAAACGTTCACAGTCCCTAGGCACACCTAGAGAAGGAATTCAACACAAAACTCAATAAAATGATATAATGCCATATAAATATACAAGACACACACACTTTATTGTTTATTTTCTTTTTACTTAATCATATTAGGTCATGAGTGGGTGGTTCTTTGTTCAACAAATCCTTACAAAATTCCACATATTCACTTAGTCTTAGGATAGTCCCAAAAGGCCTTTAGAACACTCATTACTCCTCTTACCACCTAAAAGCCTATTTTTCCCTATTTAAGGCAGAATGCCCATTACAAAGGAGCTATAAGATTTCTCTTTGTCTAGTGCCTAAACCCAAGCTTAGCCACCTATATAAATTATTTTACGCATATAAGTGTTCTCACTTTGCGAAACAATATCTCCGAACATATACCTCCTTTGAAAATGGCCAAAACTCATTTTAAGGCCATACAAAGGAACTACCTTATTTTCTTTTTTATTTCACCAAAGCAAAGGTTCATACACCTTAGAATATTATTCCACGCATAAAAGTATGCTCGCTTTGTAAAACAATAACTCCTAGCACATACTTCCTTTGAAAATGGCCATAAACACATATAAGGCCCAAAGAAGGAACTTATTCATTTTTCTTTTTATCTAACCCAACTAAAGGTTTAAACATCTAATCATATAGTCCTTAGACCGTATAAGTGCTCATTAGCACAAACAAGCTCTCTAAAAACATACTTCCTTTGTAAATGGCTAAGAGGCACATAAAGGAAATCATGCCAACTTCATGATTCCAATGCTTTAGAGCTCGTTTGGATGGACTTTTAAAAAAAGTACTTTTTATGTGTTGCTTTTTTTAAAAGAACTTTTTTATGAAGTCAAAGTTATTTTACATTTGGATGCAATATTTGAAAAGTACTTTTAACTAAAAATGCTACTTGGATGTTAATATAAAAAAGTACTTTTAAGTTTAAAATTATTGTTATGCCCTTTCTTCTTTGTTTTGGGGAAACCCACTCCAATTTCAATCCTCAGACAAAATCATCGAAGAACAAAATATTGCAAGGAACAAAAATGAAGCTTCTTGTTGTTGATTTTTTCTCTCCTGATACAAAGCCCTTCATCCTAAGATATTGTTCATCTTGCTTGGAAGTCGCTTCAGAAGGTCCAAAGCATTCCCTCACCCCAAATCCCAAGATTGATTTGCTTTGAATTTGAATTGCAAAAAAATTTCAAGAAATCAAACATGGCTGAAGAATAAAAAGCCTTGCTAGTGGTTCTGGTAAACAGGGGTAGTTGCTGAAGATGGAAGCACATATGGAAATGAAGGAGAAAGAAGATTGAGATGTCGAAGAAACAGGGGTCACGAGCGTCATTCCTTGCTTTTGGCTTCTGCTTATTCTATAAGTCAAAAATTTTAACTTTAGAAAAAAGTAGAATTTTAACTTTTTTATTTACTTCTCCTTTTTTCAGAAGCGCATCCAAACAGCTAAAAAATTCTAAAAGTACTTTTTTTATAAAAAAAAAGCAGCTTTTTCAAATGCAGAAGCTCATCCAAACATCACCTTAGTCCATCAAATTCAAGCTTATCACACACCTCTAATCCAAGATTCATTAACATATTCATGATTTTCCAAGGTTCCACAACTTAAGCACATAGGCCTCAAAGTGGCATTTTCACAACCTAGGAATTCTTTAACCATATAACTCCTACATTCTCTTATACCTGCATACATATATTCCTTCACACCCCCTTTGGAGCATCATGGCCGAAACCTAAGGAGAGATTCAAGAGGATTTCTTTTCTTTCTTTCTTTTTTTAAATTTCCATACATGTACATATTCATATCTAAACATCAATAATCCATGACTAATTCAAATTTCAAATTTCACATTTTCTACAAATATGTTCATGAACCCTAGACTTAGAAATCAAATATTCAACCAATAGTAATAGAGTTTCTTTCCTTCAACCACTCTTAGGCAACCAAAGGATCAACCTTCAAGCATTAGATCATCCAAAAACCTTACTTTTCTTTGACAATGAACAGTACCCGTATGAAAGAGAAGGATAAATCTCTCTCTACAGTGAATCCCACCCCAAAATACTAGCACCAATGGATTCCTTGAGTTGTTTACATAAATTTTCATGTAAGGCATGAAGGGTTTTGGTGGCTAAAATTGGATGAATCAAGCTTTCCCTTTGGAGCTTACTATTCACAAACAGAGCTTACTATTCACAAACAATGAAGAAGAAGGAGACAGAGGTGCGCGCGCAGGAATTGGAAGAAATAAGGAGTCACGATTTATAAGATGTTAAGTTACTTTAACTAGGTAACAGTTTATCTATTTACACACCTCCATTCATTACCAAACTTTACCCAATGGACTAGAATATTTTTCTAGTCATATTTCTAACTTTACTTTCACTTTTCGGATAACTTTGTTTACCCGCATTTTTACTCCTTAACTGTCATTTTAACTCTTTTTTCACCAAAGGCGACTTTATTTCTTTTACTTCTAATTATTCTTCAATATTAAATCCATAATTAAATGTGAGGGTCATTATAACTTCTCTGCATTAGAGAAGGTTTTTCACGTTAAAATTTGATGTGTTTTACTCTTCATCTCTTTTTTCTGCATTTTTCTTTGTTTATGTGTTTTTGCCGACCTGGAGACTTCAGGCCGACCTCGAAGTGCCTAGCTGTGAGCTCGATGTACTGACCTGTGAATCGCTTCCACCCTGATTGAGGGACTCGTACGAGCATATATCTATCCATATATATACATATAGGGTTCCCTTTTTGTCATTTGACATGACAAGAGCACTTTCCTACACACACAAATCAAGTGTGGGTCCCACGCTTAAAAAAAAAAAAGTCAGACCAAAGTCAGGATACGACGCCGTATCCTTGTTGCAGGAATGAACAGTGTCATTCCTGCAACATGATTCTTATATTTCCCATACATATATTACCGAAACATAAATATATATTTAATTCACCGGACATAATTTTATTGTTTTATGAGTAGTGAAAGAATAATAAGGTACAAATTCATCTAATTCTAAACCATTCTTTTGCAGCTAGAGATCTTATTAATGAAATGCACGTGCAAGCAATTATAGGACCGCAAACATGGGAAGAGACATCTTTAGTGGCTGAGGTTTGTAGCCAAAGCATGACGCCAGTTCTATCTCTAGCTGATGCAACTCCAAAGTGGTCAACTTTGAAATGGCCCTTCCTGGTGCAAGCCTTACCTAGTCAAATTAAGCATATGAAAGTAGTAGCTGCTATTGTTCAGTCCTGGGAATGGTACAGTGTCAACATAATATATGAAGATTGGGCTGCTTCATCCACACAAGTTTTATCTCATCTCTATAGAGCCCTCAGTGAAGCAGGTGTAAGTATAAGTAATCTTTTAGCTATCCCACCTTTTGTTTCCTCTTCATTGTCCCAAGAACTGGAGAAGCTTAGAGAAGGGCAATGTAGAGTCTTTGTTGTTATTTCTTCCCTCCCGTTGGCCATAAACCTGTTTGAAACTGCAAATAAAATGAATATGATAGAGAAAGATTCTGTGTGGATCATAACTGATCCTTTTACAAGCCTTGTCCATTCCTTGAATGCATCCACTATATCTTCAATGCAAGGCATCCTTGGAATCAAGAGCTACATCCCAGAAACAGGACACCAGTTTAAGGACTTCTACCATAAATTTGGCCAAAAGTTTAGCTCAGAGAACCCTTGGGAATTCAACAATGAGCCTGGGATATTTGCAGCACATGCCTATGATGCTGCATGGACTGTGGCTCTAGCCATGACCCAAGACAACGGTAAAGGAGGCCAAGTTTTGCTAGATAAGATTTTGCTTAATAGTTTTATTGGCTTAAGTGGAAAAATTCAGTTCACTGACCAAAAGTTAGCTCCTTCACATACTTTTCAGATCATCAATGTGATAGGGAATGGTTACAAGGAAATTGGATTCTGGTCAGATGGACTAGGTTTCTCAAATAGTATTGGCCAAAATGCTACTTATAGTTGTTCAATGAAGGAACTGGGACAACTTTTATGGCCAGGAAGACCTTGGGACACTCCAAGAGGATGGGCCCTGCCTACAAGTGATAAACCACTAAGAGTTGGGGTCCCTGCTTTGGCCACATTGAAACAATTTATAAATATAACTCAAGATCATTCTGAAAATACTACCTCCTTCCAGGGATTTACTATTGATCTTTTTAGAGCAACTGTGGAGTTGTTGCCCTACCATTTGCCATACAAATTATATGCTTTCAATGACACATATGATAATTTGGTGAAGCAAGTTTATTTAAAGGTGAGAGTTATACATTATATTATTCTTACATGCTTTATCTCATTTTATTAGTTATAAAATTATTGTGTCTCTGGCAACTACATAAATTTAAATTGCATGTGTCACGATGTCATTTCTTTCAACTTACAATATATGTTGTCATTTTGGCAAATGACAACATATATGAAATTTAAATTTAAATTTCACCCAAGTTTAATATGTTGTCATTTTGTTAGCATGTATCCATCTTTTTTTCAAAACAATGGCTAATGACACTTGCTCTTCACATCTGCAATTGCTTATGCATGAAGCAGAATTTCGATGCAGCGATTGATGTAACAATAATTTCATATCGATATCAGTATGTTGAATTCACTCTGCCTTACACTGATCCGGGAGTGGTGATGGTAGTGCCCATTAAGTCAAAAGCAGGACATAGAGCTTGGTTATTCGTGAAGCCATTTACAAAGACCATGTGGATTCTAATAGCAGCCATGATTATCTACAATGGATTTGTTCTATGGATGTTAGAGAGACACCATTGGCCTGAACTTAAGGGTTCCATGCTCAATCAAACTGGGACCATGGCTTGGTTGGCATTGACCCCTCTCATCAGCTTTAATGGTATTATGAGATTTTTTACACGTATTTGCTATCATTTTATTTGATTACTTGGCAAAAACTGACTTGTTTTACTTTAACATAGACTTAGGTGGTAAGTTACACCACAGTTTATCAAGGATGGCTATGGTGGTGTGGCTATTTGTAGCACTCATCATAACACAGTCTTACACAGCTAACCTTACCAGCATGCTAACTGTTGAAAGGTTTGAACCCTCAGTGGATAATGTTGATCAGCTACGGAATGGCAATGCTGTGGTTGGATACAGTACAGGATCCTTCTTGAAAAATTATCTCCAGGAAGTGTTACACTTCCAACCTGCAAACATCAAGCAATTTAGCTCACTTGAAGAGTTTGCAGAAGCTCTCAGAAGGAAAGAAATAGCAGCTGCATTTCTTGAAGTTCCTGGGGCCAAAATTTTCCTTTCAAAGTACTGTAAAGAGTTTATTCAAGCCGGGCCTATGTATAAAATTGGAGGATTTGGTTTTGTATGCTTCAATACTTATTTTGACTTTCCATTCATACATTACTATTCCTTCTGTTCCAAGTTTGTTTAACTTTTGTTGTGTTGCCTTGTGTTCGAGCTTTGTAGGCATTTCCAAGGGGGTCTCCATTTCTTCCAAGTGTAAACAAAGCACTGCTAGGTTTGTTTGAAAATGGCAAGCTTCGTGAATTAGAGAACAAAATGCTTGCATTAGAGAAATGTGAAGACACAGAACCAGAGGGAGATACTGCAAGTCTCAGTCCCAATAGCTTCTGGGCCCTTATCACAATGACAGCAGGCACATCAACAATTTCTCTCTTTGTTTACATTATTGGTATGAATTATTCAAACCGTGAAGAGAAAACATTATGGAGGCTAATGAAGGTAATGATTCAGCAATGTGGATATGCAAAGAGACGATTCTGCAGAAGAGAAAGTGATGTTGCAGAAAGTTCTATGGACTCTCCAAATGCACATGATATGCCAACTCAAGTTTGAACATATCAGGTCAACTTGGTTGAGGAGTGGAAAGTGATATTGTACAGATAGGAAAACAAAAATGAGCAAACAACAGCGCTTAACCACCGTATTGTTAAATAACTTTGATTGCTCTGCTAGGCAAATGAACTAGCTAGTATGCCTTGGTAAGGATAAGGCTAAAGCTCTTGCTTGCACTGTCATGCAAACCAAGAGTGTTGTAAATACGTGCCTTGAAGTTTACATATTAATAAATAAAAGTTTTAAGATATGCTTTCCTACAACTGCAGTTTTGGTGTAATATGATTGCTTGGGATTTTTATTTTCTTGTAGAGTCAATGCAAAGGGAGGAGAGAGGGGGGGATTTAGTAATGATAGAGCTGTGTTTCCTGATGGAATCCACAAGAAGTTTGTTCATGAAAAATTATTAGCAATATAGTCAAGTGTGTGTTCAGTTCTTAAAACATTCCAAAACTATAAAATTAGATTTAGGAGTTTAGGAGGGCTCCAAAGTTCAAACCAATTATGATTCTAACTTCTGTCATAAAAAAATAAAAATTATAAGCCTTCAACTCTCTGAGCAATACAACTATTCAAGTGGGAAGTATCCAAGTACTTGAAAAAGTTATATTCTGAGGGATAGATGCTTGTAGCATTCGTTTTTCTCCTTGAACCACCACTCCATAATGTGATAGCATCATATCATACTCGAATAAAAACTACGGTGATCAATCCTAGCTGCAAACTTTGCTTGACTAGAAATCTCAGCTGTCTAATTCCTTTCAGATAAAAGAACATTAGCGGCATTTAATTGCTCCTAGAAATCAATACCAAAAAAGAAAGAAATCATTGTCTCTACTTTTATTTGGATTGAATATGTATTTAACCAAAACCACCCTATAAGCACGGGTTTTGGGCAGTTTGGTCTTAATTAAACAATATCATGGAAAGTTCTTGGCATTAACCTGGCTGAATGCAGTAACTCTGAAACCCCTCCATGTACTTCAACATGACACAAAATCTTTTACATACAACATCAAGTTCCATATGTAGAAATAAGAATCAATATTAGAATTTACTTAATATTTTGTACAATTTTTCCCAAAAAAAAAAATATATATAAATATAAAATAACAGACAATAAGGCCTAAGAAGAAAAAACAAGAAAAATACATCAATCAGACACCCCCTCCCTCCAAAAACTAAGGAGAAAAATAATTCTCTGATAGCTTCCATGCATTTCCCAATACAAACCCATGAAGCTTTGTCCCTTATTCCACCCGGAAAAGGGAAAAAAAATCGTTGAGATGATTTTCTTTTAAAAATAACAACAGAAATTAAATCTTAAAATTCCAATCCAACACCAAGTAATTACCTTGAACACAAAAATTCTTCAACCTAATCAAGTAATCCACTTGCCAACTTCTACCCTCCAACCTTATAACCATGTTAGGAGCCCCACATATTGCTGGGAAACACATCACGTGAAAGTTCTAGTTAGCACAAAAGGACATACATCCACTGCATTATTCCTTGTCTCTCTTCCCCTCAACTAAGGAGCTGCTCCTTCTCCTTGCATCCCATTCCCAAGGGTTGAGAAACTGTTAGATGCTGATGTAGAGGGTGTGGATGCAGTGATGGTTGTGGCTGTGATGTTGGTGGGGATTGAAGAGAAAGACCATTGTTGTTGACTGAGTTATTCATCTTGTGTAGATTCTGTTGGTGATAGATTTGTCTCAGTCTTTCTATTTCCTTCTTTAATGCTTCTTGATGAGCTGAGATATTCAAAAATACCCACTATCTCATTTATCATGGTGCTTTTAGAAGTTCCAAAGGTGACTAATCTCCACAAAAGATGGAATAAAAGAACTTAATTCTCATGCTTCAGAAATGTGCTTTTGAAAAGAGAGATTTCAAGCCTACACATCAACATCAACTTTATTGATGAAGATCAACAATCTTAGGATATATCACTGGGACAGTGACCAAAATGCCACGCTTTAACAAAAAAATTACCAGAATGCCACACGAACAGTAAAATTTTCCAAACTGCCACGCGGCAGTGTAGTGAAATATGTCACGTCAGAATGCACAAAACCAAAAAGTGTCATGTGTCAGAATTCTTGAAATTCGCTACATATTCAACAATTTTGACACATGGCACTTTTTGGTTCTGACGTGGCATATTTCGCTACACTGTGTAGCGAATTACTTGCATACATAATTCGCTACACTGTGTAGTGAATTATGTCGCGTGTCAGTTTGGCAAAATTTACTGTTGGCGTGGCAGTTTGGTAATTTTTTTGTCCAAATATGACAAAATGGTCACTGTCCCTATATCACTTATATTATATCTTGTTAGGTCACACAAACACATGATATATTGAAAAGTTATTCTTATACCGGTATAAAAATAAGAAATCTTGCATCAAATCTTAATCATTGATTTGTTTACATCTAATGGCTCACATATCTGATAATTCAAAGCCCTTATATATAAGTAGAATTAACGACCAAAGTTGAAAATGTAACTTATATCAGTATAAAATGATCCTGACCTCGAATATATTCGAACTTCTAATATAAATAAATGGGATAGGATCTGTTTACAAACTTTTTTTGCAAATTACACTAAGTACGACCGGTCGTACATTGCATAATTAAAGTATGGCCGGTCATACTTAGTGTAGTTTGTAAGAGTTTGTAAACAAAAAAGTTTGTAAATATAACATGCTCCTGAATAAATAAATAAATTTATCACAATAAAAAGAAAAAGAGAACAGCATCGTACCGTCTTTGAAAATCTTGTCTTGTGCCAAAGCAGCAATCCGTTGCTTCAAGGCACTATTGTCGACATTGAGAATCAAACGTTGATGGTCCAAGAACGCAACTCGTGGGGACAATGCGGAAACCTCCGTCTTCATTTTAAAAAATTTCATAATTAGCACAATTCTTATTCATTGAATGATAAATTTACTACTACTACTACTACTTAACAATTATATATATTTGATTTTGAGCAACTATGTTATATGTAACTTTTTTTTTATTTTTGGTGCAGTCTGTGTAACTATTTATATATACTACGAAAATTAAATTAAACTTATTCACCTGCAAAGTTGTTACGCTCCTTTCAAGCTCAGAAATGTATTGTAGCTTTCTCACCCTTGACCTCTGAGCTGATTGCCGGTTAGCCAAAATTCTGGTATGCGTACAAATAATATGATAATAAAAAATTAGATTTGGTATCTACACATATATACATACATATTATTTAAGACCATTTTAATCCATAACATTCATTCAATCAATTAGTGTACAAAAAACTTAATATACATATAAATCTTATATAAAAATCAATCAATTTTAAAAGGTTGCGTAAGATAATTAACTTCTGCACTCAACCAACCCATTTAATTGGTTTGATAAAAAAAAATTACCAAAAAAAAAAAATGGTTTGATAAATTAATTCTGTAAGATTCAAATACAAAAAAAAAAACAAATTTATTTATTTTTCTTATAAAAATTGAGCCTATAATCTGCTTTTTATACATATATCACATCACATATCTATATATATACAAACTTTTTTCCCAACAATCATTTTCCCTGAAAACTATAGCTAAATATCCCGATTTCAATTTTTATATCATGCATTTCAGTTAAAAATATCTTCTATATTAAACTCGAGATCATAAGTACACTTTTCAAAATGATAATTTGATAATGTATTTATCAGTCAGTTCTTGATTATTAAACTACAAGAGTTAGCTCATATTATTTGTTATATTTAATGAATAATGTAACATACACAGCAAGCCACCTTAGATTAGAGTAAACAGGTATTATTCATATTTTAATATTTAAAAAATTAGAAATAGAATTTTAATATGTGAGACAAGGTATCCATGGAATAATTTTTTGGCAACTAAATTTTACAAACGAGTTTATTTAAAAAATAAAATCATTTTCATTAATTGAACGTGCATGGGTGGTGGGGGAACTTACTCTATAATAATAATAATAATAATAATTTTTATTATTATTATAATATTTGGTGTGATTGAGATTTACCTTTTGACCCTCTTGGGATCGAAAATGGTTTCAGTGCAGCTGGTGGCGGCGGAGGGTGGCGGCGCCGCCGTCTCATTCTTGCATGAGCTTTCATCTTCAACAACTTCGTTCTTGGGCTTCAGCTGATGATGATGAACGTCCAACGCCATTGCCATTGGCTTCTCATCGTTATTGCTATTCTGGTCGGAGGACGGCGAGGAAGGGTTGGAGGTGGACGACGGCGGCGGAGGCGGCAGAGAAACGGTGGCAATGTCGTCGGAGAACATTGAAATCAGCTGGTCATCGTCCAACCTATCGAACCCGCTTCGGCATTCTTCTAGGAATGGCGTTTCGATGAAGGTGATGGAGTCGCTGGCGGAACGCCGGTGAGATCCTCGCCGTGCCGATGAGAAGTCGAGGAACTCGTCGACCCATGATGGCAATTGTTGTTGTTGTTGTTGTTGTTGTGGCGGCGGTGATGAAGGTGGTTGATGTTGATAATGGTGAGGAGTGGTAGCATTGGTGACAGTTGTGGTGGCGGTTGTCGTGGCGGTTGTGATAGTGGGGTTGAAGTTTGACATTGTGGATACCCTTTGGTAAGGAAAAGATGGCCAATTTTGGGGTATGGTTGGTATTTTAGGAGGTAACTGTGCCATTCCCTATGTATCTGTGACCCCAAATATAGAGAGAGAGCGAAAATTTTGTGTACTTATTAAGTGTGTGTTTGAGAAAATAGACAGAGAGAGAGAAAGAAAAAAAAAACAGAGAACAGAGATCCCAACAACCTAATCTTAGTTCAAAATCTTGTTCTTGGGCTTCTAAAACCAGTGGGAGAGAGATGTTAAAGAGATGAGAGAGGCAATGCCAAATGCCAATGTGTAACAAAATCTTATAATGGTGTTTTTATTTTATTTTTTTATATTATTCATTAATTCATCAATTATTCAATTAATCTGATTCGACTACGATAGAACTTTTCCTATCAAGTTTTTAATAGAATTGTAACCTCGAGAACTCAAACTCATTAAAATAGAACAATCTCTTACCAATCAATTCATGTACTTTTTTTTGGAAATATTATAATCAGTTCATCGCTTCGCGACTAGTTTGATTCGGGACGGGTCTCAAGATTAAGACTTTAAATTTTTTCTAAAAATAATACTGAGGAAGATCGAATAAATGTTTTCACCCACTTGCTCAATTCCCTAATACCAACTGAACAACTGAGCTATCATCATTTGAAATAAGTAAAATACTTGATTGTAGTGTTTTTATTCATGGAAAAAATGTGTATCATTTTAAAGGACATAAAGTTATGTCATTTTAGATGAGAGAAAAAGATAAATCATGAGAAAGAGAATAGGTGAAAAAAGTTTTAAAGATGTGAATCTCACTTCTTTATCAGAGTAAAATGATATAAAGTATCTCATTTAAAATGAGAGAACTTTTTTCCTTTATTCATTTGGTATAAGGTTTTCTCATTTGTTCCCTCTCTCTTTTCTTAGATTTTGGTGTATGTTTGTTTTTCTTTCTAAGGTCCTATGGTTTTGGAGAGAGATAGAGATAGAGAGAGGTGGGTCATCACATGGGAAGGGGATTAGAGACAGCTAGCAACAGCTAGCTGGTGAAAGACTCAACGGTTTTAGTGGGAAAATCGAGTGTAGTTTAATAACTATAGGAATCAGCAACCACGTGCAGATGTGACCCCTACACTTGGCATCCATTATCTCTCATGTCATAATACTGTGCTTCATATAAAAAAATTCATCTTCAACTTAGTTAGTTTTTTATTTCATGTTCTTTAGCCATAGTAGTTCCTCCTGTGTCCTATCTATACACCACTTACACTGGAATAATGGGACCACCTTCAATTGTTTACTATGGCCTATGGGCCATAGTGTATATCATCCGAACCGTTCAATTGTTTACTCATATATTTTAGGAGAAGGATCCGTTTATAAATTTTTTTCACAAATTATATTAAGTATCACAGTTCATACATTCTTGATTGAAGTATAACCGGTCATACTTAGTATAGTTTGTAAACAAAATTTTTGTAAATATATAACTTCCTCCTATGTTTTATTGTCATTTTTGGATCAGAAATTAATGGACAAGGATGGCATTCAATATTTTTCTCTGGTTTGGATCAGATTTTGGATCCCTTTTTTAATCAAGGAGTATGCAATTGGGTTTTGATCATTCAATTGAGTATTTGGCAAGTTTGTGATTTAAACTAGAAAAAGGCAAGCAATGTGGGATCATTTAATTTTTCTATGATACAGTTACATGGGAGAAGATATATGGGGCAGATTAATTTATGGGATAGTGGTATGTTGGGAAGATGTAGGACTTTGGTTAAGGATGAGCTGTGGAGAGAAAAGGGTACCCCTAAGAATCATGTCCTCCTCTTCTTCCCCCCCATGTGAAACTCTTTGTGAGAACCTAGCTTTCTTTATTTGTTTTGTCCCCAAATCAGATTCACATGGGGGAGATTTGTGTTCCTGCTTTCCTTTCCCTATCCTCTGAAATTCTGGGTGCCTCCATCATTTCGTGCTGGCACCAATGTTGTATTTTTTTTAAAGTGAATGTACTTAGGAGACACTAATAATGATTAGGGGAAAAGGTGGAATGCATGTTAACTGCCTATTGTTTAATAGCTTGTCTTTATATTTATTGGTATTTATATGAAGAAACACCACCCACTTTTGGAAATGTTTTAATTGATTGGATACATTTGTAAATTCATTTCTTGATGAATAAAGGGGAAGAAAAAAAAGGAGAGAGAGAAGAAGTTTAGATTCCTCATGAAAGTATAAAACTAATTCTTTAGAAATCCATCATTAGGATTATTAATATATTCCCTCAAGGTACATGACTAGAATCATAATGTGAACTCAATATTCCTACCAAGGTTTACGTGGTTAGTTATATGTTTCTATGGTCAATTAACATAATTCCATTTTCAAAATAATAATAATAATAATTCTACCCCATGTTCTGCACAAACATTCAAATATGTGTACTCATTATAATTAATCAACACATGAAATAGAAATATATTGGCTTTTTTTCCCATTTCCTTGCTTTTTATTTTTAAGATAAAGAACACCTTATAATATAATTAAATTAATCGGCTTAAACTGTTAAATAAATAAATAACCAGCTTGAAATTCTGGTAGGGTTTGCATGTCCATTTCATAATAATAAGATGATTGCAAAATTTGAATTCAAATTGTATAAGTGTTTGGGTTATACTTGCCTAATTACTTGCGTTAAGGTTTTCCATTCCACATTTTTTTTTTTTTTTTTTGGTTAAGGAGAATAGATTCCTTATCGCTTAATTCAATGATTGTTGATGTCGCTCTTTACATTTTAATTCTCAAAATATTTATTTTTAATGTTAAAAAGCTAATTTGCTGCCACCAACTTAATTTAATGTAAATATTATCAACATTTTTTTTTTCTTAACGCTATTTTTTTTTCTTTATTTCACATATTTTAATAGTTTCTATATTTCAATAATTGATATATTTTAAGTTTAATATATCATTCTATTTTGAGTAAAATATTATAGAATTAAAATGTCATTATATTTTAGTAATATAATTATAAATTACCTTGTTATTTTTATATTTAATTGTATAATACTTATATAAAAAGTAGGTCTAATAATGTTGAAAATAAAACTTAGAAGGAAAAAGTGTTTATCCTTTTAAATGACACAAATTATTTTACTCTCACAAAGAGATGGGACCCTCACTTTTACTTTTTTTGTCAACTATTTCTCCTTCTTCTTCTTTTTGGTATGGCTATTTCTCCTTCTTTATCTATCTTTTTCTCTCTCTTAAAATGACACAACTTTACATTCTTTAAAATAACACACAATTTTCCCAACTTAGGGGGAGTGTGTTAGATTGGGATTTTAAAAGACTTTTTTAAGCTAAAAAATCTTATAGATTTTATAAGACTATTTATAATTGGAGAGACTTTAAAGATTTTTTTTTACAATCAAGATTTCATAAGATTGGATTTTAAAGGATTTTAATATAATTTATAAGATTTGAAAAGACAATATGGATTTATAAGATTTTAAAAAATCATATGAATTTTTAACAAACATTCAAAATTACAAGAGTCAATAAAAAAGGAAAAGGTTATATTTACAACCTATTTTTGTTTACAACATTTTACAATCATATCTTAACCGTTTATTTTCGTCAATCAACGGTTATCATTCATTGCAAATTAAATATTAATTAATGAGTTTGATTTGCGAAAATAATAACCATTGATTGACGGAAATAACGGTTAAGATATGGTTGTAAAAGGTTGTAAACAAAAATAGGTTGTAAGTCTAATCTTTTCCATAAAAAAATAACAAAGAAATGCAATGAAATTAATAAAAAAAGTAAAATCTAATCTAATTTTCTCAATCAGTAAAACATAATATAATTTTTAACAAACATTCAAAATTACTTAACAACAGCTTTTCACATATCTAATGGGTTGAAAATTATCTTTTTTGTTATAAAAAAAAAATTATCTTTTTCATTTGGTATCAAGGCTATGCATATTTGATCATAAGACCCAATTTTTTTTAATTATAAAAATAATTATAAATTTGCATATAGAATCTAAAGTTCATGATAAAATTTCGTTTGGAATTTTTTACTATTGATCTTGAAAACTTTGAGATTTTTATTTTACGTGATGAGAGTTTTCTAACCATATATCATATACATATTTTCATTGAATATTCTAAGAAAATTTCGAATCTGAAATTTTGAGTTTAATTACATGAAAGTTTAGAAAATTTCTCAATTTTTTTTCAATGGATACATTGAAACCTTAAATTGCTTTGGGGCTTTTGAGAAACAAGGTTTTAGTTATCTATTGACACAAAAATTGTTTGAAATCGTTTCCTATAATGAAGAAATTTCGTTCATGAATGTATTGTTACGAAATATAGGGTTCATATTATGAAAGTTTCAATATTTCTTTAAATTGATATTATTTCATTGATGTAAAACGATAATTGGTTTGAGGGTTTTAGTTTCCCTGTTATTTTTCACTGTTTTATGTTGTTTTTAATACAAAAATCACACGTTTTTGTGCCAAGAAAAACTAGGGGTGTTCGCGGTCTGGATTAGATCGATTTTGGAAGCAAAAATCATTGTATCCAATCCCTTCGATTTGATCTTGTAATCATCCATTTGGTTTGAATTTTTTTTCAAATCTGATCCGATCCAATCCAATTTTTTTCTGTTTGGATTGGATCGGTTTTCGATTTTCGATTTTTTTGAAAATTCTAAAATTTGTTTCATGATTATTATGCAAATAACATCTTTTGTATATATTGGCTTTGTAATTTTATTTTATTTTAAATACAAAAGCATCATTAAACTATAATATAATTTTTTTTTGGACAATGATATATGAAGCTCTACATAGATGAAATTTTGTTGATGAGATATGATTAGTTTTTTTTGGGGTTTAGTTGATAGCTTAATGGGTCTTGGGTTTAGAAAATTTCTGATATGATTGGGGAAAGACCCAACTAGGTAGAGGGAAATTAATATATTGGATCAATTTTTATCTACCAATCCAAAAACCGATCCAATCCAATTAAAATTTGTGGTTTTTTTCGGTTTTC